ACAAAGAGTCCCCACTTTGATAGCACATTTCTTACTGAATTTTCGATATATATATATATATATATATATATATATATATATATATATATATATATATATATATATATATATACCGCGTTCTATGATAATACCAACATAAGTCCTTAAGCTGTCACTTGCCGATTCAATGGCAGGGAAAGGGCATGAAAAATGTAGGCTCATTTGGTTTGACCTCAAATGCGATGGGTATCAGCAACTGACAGTTTTGTTATTTATGAAAGTAAATATTTTTCCAGCGCACGCAATGATGATGAGAGTAAAATTGCACAATAAAAAGTGGTTTAACGTACAAAAATCATCGAAATCGCTGGTACATAACGTTGCACACAGGCTGTCACTTGTACCAGTCCAAATACCCGCACAAATATATAGAATTACGTTATAGTAGACGAGCTCTACTAAACATCATTTTCCCTAACTAAAACTGTCAGAAAAAAAAACAATTTCAAATGCTTTCACATGAATTAAATGATGTTTTCTAGCAAGTCCCTATCATTCTAAATACCACCCTTTCTCATTGTATGCTAGTGTTCTATCTTTCTTCCGTATCTGTGCCATCGTCTTGTGGTATTCAACTCTCTCTTTAATTCATCACCTACCTCCTGGGGTTCTAAATAATGTAGATGCCACGTTTTAGTCCGTTCAGATTTCCAGCAGTATCTCTCAGGTAAGGTTGCCAGAGCCAGGAATTAACACTCAATGGAAAGGTCCAGCTATAGTATCTTGATGGGTTAAATGCCACCCACCTAGTATATGACTCTTCTCTCTCTTTTTTTTTTTTCAACAGAATGATTTTAACTCACCTTCAAAGGCGCACTGCTCCCTCTGCTGTCAGGTGAGCGAATGCATGCGTTTGTGACATTCGGCACTGCGACTGTTAAATACCTGAGTTGTCGAGGGCCGGGCAGGGTCAACAGTCAGACGTATCAACACTCACCCCTTTTCACGTCAGATATACTAAAAGTCACTCGACAGGGGAAAATGCCGAGAGTGTTTCTTTTAACAGGTGTACATTGGTGCCATTGAGAGAGAAAAAATTGAGGGAAAACTTGTTCATGAGTGGACTAGTAATGTTCCGGTGAGGGGCATTTGTGCCTTCGAGTCTACATTTTTATCGAGTGCATTTTAACAACATTGTATAGGCACCGTCTTGTCAAAGTTTATTCGTTCATTCGTTTTTACTGATTTTTTTTTTCAAAATGATCAATTGATAAATATGTTAACGTATCCATTCGTATGCCCATTCATACATTTGTTCGTTAATTCAACCTTTTTCTTATTTTCATCTATTCATCCATTCCTTTATTCATTCCCCCTTTATCTTTCTACGTACGCTTTTGTCTTTAATGCACTGCGAGACACACGTGTCGGCATTGTGCATTTACTAAAATCTTGTGTAACAAATATGTAATCGGCCGCAGTAAATACATTAGGCCCTGGGGTATTACACCTTTGTATTTTATGACCGAACGGAACCGGAGATCTGGGAGATATCGGCCGGAGGTAACATCATTCTTAAGTGGTCATCGGAGCTTTATTCTGGCCAGAAGTGGCACTCCGAGTCCACTCTAAACCTAATCACGACTCAAGTGGTAACTTAGTGGTCCATATACCGCGACAGCATAAAACTGCAATAAAATGAACACGGTGTCGTTATAGCCAAAACGCCTCTGTCCACCAGCTTGGACATATCATACATGGGAACTTCAAAGCGCTCATTCGCGTTAACATTTTCAAAACTACTCTATAGTTAATAAGGGTGAGATAAGGAGGGATTGGGTAATAGAATCAGTTCGACTGAACACCTCTTAATGCCCACGTAGCTTTAGGCCATGTATCAGGTGGGATACCGCTCGCGCTGCATTAGTCGAAAATCGCTGTTAATTTCAAATACGTTTCGGTCTCGCGCCTCTAGTTATGTCACGGATTACTTGTGTGACATGATCCTTTGTCACCAGTGCATACCGACACTGATATCATGCAAAAATAGATATACAACAACGTACGTCTTATCTCTTTTTGATATACGTGTACTCCGTGTGTGCAAAAAAAAAAAAAAAAACAATGTACATGTACCTACAAATGTAGTGATGGCACGAGCCACTTCGTAGATATTTCTATTTGAAGGACTTTTCACTGAATTTCGATTTTTTTCATTTTTGCATTGCACAGTATATTTTTTAACTTGCGGGTGTTTTGTGTTGTTGTTGTTGTTGGTATTGGCGGTAGTGTATGTACCAGTAAACATGAGATCAGGTCTCGGACTGTTAAATGTAAACTAAGTGAGTCACATTTTGCATGATGTCATTCTCATACAGGTATATGTGCACATGTTGCGATTGGATTAAGATTAAAACAGAAACTTTGTCTAATAAATGTAGTTCTGATTATTTTCAATCTTCAATTTACAGTTTTGAAACAATATACAAACAGATATGAACACACATGGGTGATTTAATCATTCTAGTCTAAAAGACACATAGACGAATTACAGGGTCATTGTTCCACGCCCCCATTAATAACGAAAGAACAACCACTGACAAATTTTTAGAAAGTTTTGTATGTGCGCTGACGAACAGACACCTGTTCTATTTAAAGTCGTCGTTTGTCTCCGTTAAATCGGCTGACAGATTCCGACGACCTTTTCTCTAGGACTAGACAGCTTTAAGCACTAAACGAAACTGAAATTCTATTTACATTTTCATTATAAAATGAAAATATATACATGTATGACCGCAATTGCCGTTTAAATTAAAAATAAAAAATTAAAATTCCGCAAGTTGAAATCTGGAAAGAAGTTTCAGTTACGTGATAGCATGAAAAGATGCTTTATCATTAGATATAGAGGCCCTTCAGCTAATGGGCGTTCCCTCTCATTGAACAACAGTACGTACGGGACGCCTCATCTATCACGATCATTTAGCGATGCTTCCCTGGGCAATAAGAACCTAAATGACCATCTTAATGCACATGTTTTTATGCTGACGGTAGCCGAATCACCGGTGTTTTATTTATAAGACATGCATGTATTTTAGATCGAGTAAAGTATTGCGAGTTACTGTCATTCAGAAGTTAAGTTATAAAAAAGCACCGGTATAAATTACAAAAAAACTGATAACTTAAATACCCTACTTATATTATTATATTATTAAGCCGGTCAACTCGGTAGAGAGAGAGAGAGAGAGAGAGAGAGAAGAAAGAGCATACACCAGTAGTGTACGCCCCAGCAAGTCTATCACTGCCTACTAATCAGTCCTTACTTTCTACCCGATTCAAAGAAATCAAAGGCAACTACCAGTACTGTGTATTCGAGAATTCACGGTTTCTAAATTAATCTGTTGTGGTCAGCGACGCACGGTTCAGTGGCTTATTGTTCTGTCGGAGAAAAACCATTTAAGTAGGATAGCAAGCGTTTTAAGGAATGGGACCTTAAGGTGAAGACGGCTTTGTCACCTGTTTATTGCCCTCTGGACTCGAGTCCAGCGACAGGTGCACACTGGGCTTGCAGGGATCATAAATGTTGTTGTTTTGCTTGACCACCACCCCTGACTACGTAACCACGAAGTCTAAAGGCCAGAGGCTTAAAACTGACCGCGCCTTTACGGCCCTTGTTATTAAGTCGGACCTGGAAGATTTTTATTCAGGCGACCATTGTCTGTCAACGCGAAGAGGCCAGACCTCTCATTCACCGTGGTATGTGAGCGTTAAACGCGTCATTATTAATGAACAATTTTGCTTTATACAGTAGGTGCAATACCGCCACCTTCTTTAATGGGACTGAAAGACAAGGAATGAAAATATTGGGATTGAACTCAGTTACCTCAAGCTAACTCCATGTTATTCTTATAAGTAGTGAATACAGTGACACATGTGTCACATAACCGACACTGTCATGAACGTATCTACTAGCAGGCATTTCCTTCGGCTTAAATTTCCACTGTATTATTTTGTTGTGTTATAAAGCCGGCTGTAGGGTATTAATTAAGGGTTTCATTACAGGAGGAGGTTTGCCTGGTCATTTTATAATGCAGAGGATTCATTATTTTATTTGCAGATTTCTTCTCTTATGTTGCCCAGAAAAATACGATATTTCACGTCCTACTAACTCTTTTGACTAAACTTTTAGGGCATATCCCGTCAGTGTCAGTCATTGGGGCAAAGGTCATAAAATTTCAAGTATGCAACTTAAAAAAGAGATAATAAGATTAAATTAACCAAGATACAAATAATAAATACATGGATTATTAAGTCAGGTACTGGTACTTCAATAGACTTATATCAAAAGCCGAGTGCCAAAGAACACCACATTCTTTTCAATACTTTATTCAGGTCCGTAGCCAGCAATTTTAAAAGGGGAGGAGTTCTTTTTCTGAAAAAGTGGACCTTTTACCATGGAACCTTCGTGTACCTAAATTAAATTTTAACCAGAGGGGACCTTTTTCCAGCAAAAAGGAGGGTTCTTTCTTTCCGACCCCCCTCCCCCCCCCCCTCCCCGACTACGGGCCTGCTATTCAAACGTCAAGTACTCGTCCTTACGTAAAACATCAAAAAGAGAACTTAAAAAAATCAGCTATTGTGCAGTAACATGTCCGCTTGCATTAAACTTCTTCTCCAGTCACTGCATATAAACAGTGATTCCTGTTATAAAACACGACAACTTCGCTCTCAGCGGCGAACGAAACATCCCTTTTTATGCTGCAAATTACGCCGAGGAAAAAATCACCCAATCAGCGCAGAAAAGACTCTTAGGTTTGTCAGACAAAAATTACCCCGTTGGGATCGTCTTTTACTTCAGTGACCTGAAGTCTAAATGTACCTGTTCACCCTCAGCCATCCTCACCCTGTCCAGCGCACACAAAGTGTGGTATTGGGTTTGTTTGTAAGGTTGTATACCTTGAAATATGAGCCAAAGTTTTGATTTTATCCTTGATAAGAATGTAATGCAATTTAACTCAACATATTTATACACCGTTGACCCGGTTACTTGTGAAGACGTAACCTTTTTTACCTATCCATTCTTCTGGTTGACGAACCGGCAGGGCACAAACCTGTGTCCTCTGAACAGTGATGCCGTCTGCATGTTTGCCCAGCAAATGCCCAACATAACTGAGGGGTTATTTTCAGACATAACTAAAATATGCAGACATTCCTCAAAACAGAAAAAGGAAATACATGCAAGAGTAACATAACTCTGTATATTTTACTTTTCCCTGTGATTGCTTTTCTCTTGCCCTTCGGTCACGTCCTTTGACAAAAGAAATAAAAATGAGACGATTTTAACAGGACTTAAATTATTAAGCAGGCGCATGTATCCTCTGAAAGAAAAAAGTTTGAAAACGTGTGTGTGTGTGTGTGTGTGTGTGTGTGTGTGTGTGATGAGAGAGAGAGAGAGAGAGAGGAGAGAGAGAGGGGGAGAAGCAAGGGCGCACGCCCTGGTTGTACACTTCTCAAATATCTAATCAGCGTTCCCAATTTATACGTATTTGATTTCTTTACCAACACAAAAAGAAAGATTATTCATGCCTAATCTTAAAATCGCAAGATTTATATCCCTGAGTCTGGAAGACAAGATGGTTTCATTAGTTCCCCACAAATTCGTCTCAGAGCTTAACAAGCTACAAGAAATAAAGAAACATTGTTGTATTTCCCATTTTGGCTCTACGACAAACCAAGAATTAATTTAATCGGCGTAACGTGATCAGTTTGAGAAAAATAGACTAGATTAGACTGAATAAGTGACGTGATAAGAAGCGAAGGGCTACGAGATTTGTCGGGTTTATCGTCGCTAATCAGTCTGTTCATTTTTATTTTCCACGTTATTGAATTTTTAAGGCAGGTTAGTCACGCGTTTGCAACAGAAGGGAAAGAAGATTTATTTCACCAAGAATTAAAAAAAAATCAAGTATCGTTTTCTACACCCTTTTATTCGATAAAATCAATTGTGATTACGTGACGAATTCAATCAGCCGCTTGTAGGTTACTCTCTCTCTCTCTCTCTCTCTCTCTCTCTCTCTCTCTGAAAAGACGGACAACATGCAATATTTTTTTTTTACTTGTCATGTCAAGCAGACGCGTAAGAAGGGAATTCGATTGTGTCGCTCACCTGCTGCAATGGATGTCACCACATTTCATCATTCAAACACACTTCACTGCAGCAATCCGAATGGAAAAATCCAACTCTCTGTGAAAGAAGTTAATCCACACAAAATGCAATAACATTAACCGGAATTTTTTTTTTTTTGCAAATCAAGCCTGCGAAAAGTTTTGAGTGCTTCGGCGATTCCTCAAAAAATAAAACAGACATGCGATCACCCCGAAAACAGTAAGTGCACTTACTCCTGTTACGAATACGATAGGGAGGACATACAATCCCTGCTCAGCTTTGTCAGAGTTCACTACGGTGGTTTGTTCACTTACTGCTGACTGTAATGATAAGTCACCTGAGCCTGATGTTGGGATACCAGTTCTTTGAGTCGATGTGACAGAGCCATAGATGTGTTTTATCGTTGTTGAGACAACAGTCGAACTTGATACTTGAGAGGTGTAATCACTGGGACTAGGTGAAGAAAACACTGCGCCGGGGTTTATAGAAGGATTTGCTCGCTTTGTTGTGAAAACCAAGTTCCTTGCTGTAGACGTCTTCCCTAATTTAGTTTTAGCCAACCCTGTTGTCGTAGTAATTTTGGAATCTATTATTGCAGTAGATGTGTTGTGTTGAGTTGCTCGTGAGGCAGATGTGGTTGTTGTGTATGACACATCTACTGCTGGCAGCACCGTTGACATGTCTGGTTGTCTTGCTGACACAGCAGTGATTGTGTCGGTTTCATGGGAGATTCTAGTATTTCTAGTACTCATTGGCGTAGTTGTAACAGAAAATGCTGCTTTTTCTTGACTGGAAGGTTGTGTACTTGATTGCAATACCCCCTCGTCCTCTGTAGTTTTAAAAAAATTCTCCTTTGGTAACTTCGTGATACTTTTCCAAACTGCTGACGACACGGTCGGCTTGGCTTTTGACGTTGCAAGTGATGATCCACTCCGCACAGTTGAATGGGATCTAACATGTGACGCAGTCTTCATAAAGGACTCCGATGACGATGTGAGATATGTAGACGGTGTAGAAAGTGGGTATTCATAGGTGATGCTAGAAGTCCCGGATAAAATTTTGCCTGTGCCTGGAAGAGGCGAGGTAATCGAAGACTGAATCGAAAACTTTGGCGAAAGGTTAGATGTTGGCATATCTTTGGTAGGCTGGTGTGTTGTTTTGCGGATGAACGTTGGTGTGACGGTTGTCATAGGTACAGCGGGTAGTCGGGTACGCGTTTGAGGAGGGATCGCCGAAATGAAAGAAAATGTAGAAACAGGTGTCGTCACCCTGCGGGACAATGTTACCGTGGTGGGAGACGTACTAGTAGGAGGTGGTGTTTTCCTTCTATCCATTTCCTGTGTTACCGTCGACCTCTCATGTGCTGGTGTAACTGTCTCACTAACCCGTGTGAATTGTTCTGGTCGTCGACGTGACGTCGTATCTAAGAATATCTTTGCTGTTGATGTCTGATATCTGAATGACGTCATATGTACTAGAATTGATGACGTATCAGTGCTGGGTTTGATTTCTGTTGTTTGTGTTATAGGCAGAGAGGGCGCCAGAGGGGAGGCCGTGGAAGTAGAAGATGAGCTAGATGAATCTCTTCCAGACTGTGAAGAGGTATCCAGCGCTAACGTTGACGCATGGATTGTGCTGGAGGTTGTTTGGACTGCGGGCGATGTCGTAAGCATTAACCTCGGAGTCTCTTTGTTTGGGACGATTTTGGTGGAACTTCTAGTGGACGGGGCCGTGGTTGGTGTGCCTCCAGTAGACGGTGGTGTTGGTTTATGATTTATTGTTGGAGCAGTGTTAAAATTAGAAGTTGTTTTCCCTATGGAAATATTTTCAGGTAACATTTCAGTTGTGCTTTGGTGAGCAAACGATGCACCGGGGAAAGAAATGGTCGATTTAAGCGCTAAGGTCGACATTTTAGACGTGCTACCTATAGTTTTCAGCGTAGATTCGCTAGTTAAAGTAAGTACAGGCGGCGTGGTAAACGTTGGTTGCAGCTGCGAAGTCTTGTGGATTGTCACTGGCATGGTACTGTCATTGGAATTTGTATGGTCTGTAGAAGAACTTTTGGATTTCATGTCAGTAGCCTGTGTACGAAGGATAGAAGTCTCAAGGGAAGTTTCTACATTATAAATAGGTGACGTATTTAAAGGATTTTGGGCTGGTTTTCCCTTACCTGCAGTGTATAGAGGAAGGGTGGTCGCAGTCAACCCAGGCGTTAACGTAGGTTTTGACACAGACTCAGTGGCTGGACCGCTAGAAGAGTGTGGCGCAGTTTTTCTGCTTAAATCTGTGTTCAAATTTGAAGTAGTGGGTTCAAGTGCCGAAGGGGATGATTTAGGTGCTGTCTCCGTTGTATGTATCCGAACTGACGACATTTTAAGAGATGTCACCGCTCCTGTAGGTTTACTGGATATATTCCCAGTAGATTTGCTTAGAAGAGTTTTACTCGTCTGGACCAAAATCTTAGGCGTGTCACTTGACTTAATCCAAGTAAGTGAGGTCTCTGTGTTTGTAGGCTTAAACACGGGCATCGAAGTTGACGCAGAAAAGTTTAAAGTAGGCTCATCTGTGGTCGCTTTAAGTGTAGTGTCGTAGTTAAGTGATGGTGTGGCATCTACGCCAACAGATGAAGTCGAAATAGAGGCAGTCGTTATTGTGGGCGTGGAAGTTGACGTAGTTGACGTAGTATTCAAAGAGGGCACATCTGGAGTCACTGTCGCCATGCTCGTTGTCTCGGTAGGTAAAGATGGTGTGACATTTGTGTTAAAAAAGTAGGTGTAAGCGGGTGTTGTGATTATTGGAGAAGACGAACCGGCAGATGCAGAATTGAAAGAAGAATATATGTTATAGGTAGTCGGACTTGTGGGACTTTGAGAATGAAGAGCTTTTGTCGTCATTTCTCTCGTTTTCATGGTGGCGTAAGGGGTTTTAGTGAACAACGATGTCGTCAGCTTTTGCGTTTGAACTGAAGAAGTGAAATTATCTACCGGCACGGTCGTTGTCAACGTTGTAATATGGATGGATGATGGAAGGCTATTCGAACTAATGTTCTCAGATATTGCCCTAGTGGCCTGTTTACCAGTAGAAAAGCTGATCTCTGAGGAAGCTGAATCTACGGTAGGAGACGCATATCTGGTTCGTTGTGTCGAGGTTTCGTAGGATGATCTAAATGTGGTTCTTTTACTTGGAGTCTCAGACGTTTTGATAGTGGGTAGAGAATATGGTGAGGTCCACAAATTCGTAGAAAGTGTAGCAGTCACCGAAGTTTTAGAACTGCTTGCACTTTCTTGCGTCGTTGTTTCATGCGATTCCCTGGGTGACATGTTGGTAGTGGTGGTAGTGATCGAAGGTAACATCTTCTCTGTGTATTTTCGAGAAAGTGTTTTTTCACTGCTGGAGGTAGCTTTATTCACGGGCATCGAGGAAGACACAGTAGACTTTTCACTAGCAACCCGAGGCGTAGTTTTGGCAAACAGAAATGTGCTATTGTAAACTCCCGCTGTTGTGGGACTTTCGCACTGCCCTAGTATGAGATCATCGACAGCGATATCACTTATCGGTTGTCCAGTTATATCCACAGCCTCCAGAACTATCTAAAACAATTAATAAATATTCTTGTTAATGTTTTCTATGCCTCTTGAAATCAAAGTCAATGAGAAGCTTGGGTTAATCTATCTACTATGTAGATATAGTATTAGTCTGGCCTAGTAGAATGGTTTTGTCTAACAATTTTTTTTACAAAATTAGAACTGGTGCCGTCAGATGGGCGGACATGTAAAATGTTTGTTAAATCAAATATAACAATTTAATGTTCTAAGCAACTTTGTTGTGATATCAGAAGCGGTAGAGACCTGGAATGACTCATTTAACTGCGGTATGGCCACTGTCCCTTTCGTCCACTGATCTCCATGGTTTCCACGCGTACTAAATATGGTGTTATTGGCTATTGTCTTTGTTGTGATGTATATATTTAGTTCACCAACAGCTGGAAGTAAACAAATCTTTTACTACAACCATTTAAATGACTTATGCTTGTCAAAGATGTCCATGTTCAATATATTCCCTTTCAACTACAGGCCAATGTAAAATGAAAAACTGAATTGGGACATCTTTCACGCAACCGAAACATTTCCAATGGTAAACATGAAATTTACAGTATTCATATTCTTAACTGATGTTCTTCTGTATAACTTAGGGGAAAACAAACACATATTTCATGTTAATCAAGTGCTTCATAATACGAAAAACGTGCTTAAATGACAAACGACAAGCTTTAAAACTCTGTGTGGATAAAAGGGCCCACTTCACATCTTTATCGGGACAAGTTTACAAAACTATCATAGGTTATCTTTTAAATTGTTTTATGATTATCATCTAATATTTACCATCGTGATTTTTAAGGCCGGAGTCAAAAGGTTTGTCAAACATGTGGTACCAAAATTCAAAACAACTATTGCTCAAATTCGCTTGGAAAACTGGTGAAAGAAGTCGAATCTTATCCCCCTGCTTCATGGGACTTGATTCCATGTATATGTAAAAACCTGGAAGGAAATAAAATATCCTCGAAGTTTACAAAAAAAAATTTTCCAAAGAGAATAAATAACCAAATGCATTTTCGATGTAAGAATTAGACATTTTTGAAAATTGTTTGAGGGATTGAGAGAGAGAAAGATTTTCTCAGAATGAACCGACATCTTTTCGTTGATGAGCTTTTGAATTTAATAAAAACAGAACCAACATCTTTTTATATTTGACCACAAACCTGCCGTTGTATTTGTCGTATGGTCCACACTTGGTCCAGTATATGGCGTGGGTGTCCTCCCCTTCCTTCTCGTCCAGTTTCCGTTGTCAGACGTGATATCTTGTGACCAGCCGCAAAACCCGACTTCAAACTCGCAAAATTCGTACACGTTGTGGCTTGCAACGTTTCCTACGTCATAACAATAAACAAATATCACTTACCGATTTTTTTGAGAAATACTCAATCGATCAGGAATTCCATGAACACAAACAGAAAGACGAACAAGCAGAACTATAGAAATAACATACTATTCAACTTAAAACAATCGGTCTTCTATAATATCGCATTCATTAAGGAATAAATCGAGGCTCTAAGATTCAGCATATTCCAAATTATTGGATTTTACCTATAAAATGATTTACATGTATATATGAAGTAATTACCAACTGTAGTAAATCTATCGGCATAGCATGTAAATATACAGTGCGGTGAAACTCGCTTGTGGTGTCAACGTGCTGTGAATATTTTATATTGACGGAAAATATCCGCACGCACGCGCTCACGTTCACATACTTTAACTAATATAAATTCCCGTACCTGAGATAAACAACCCTCTCACATGGATGACGAACACAGCAACAACAAGAAAAGATGTGAACATGTCGACTGTCATCACAAGTAACCCTCAAAAAAGAATGTTGCGGTGCACCTGCGAAAATGGTCGCTTTAAAAAGAGGTTCACATCTCATGGAAACATAGAGACGAGCACACTTAATTCTAGTGAAATTTGACTTGTGGGCACAAACAATCTGGATAATGACGGGATTAAGTCCCTTTATTTTTGAATCAATTATCGATGTTTAACCTGTCCAAGAGAGTAGGTCGTGTGGCATGAATGGGGGAAAACGATAAGAGGAATAATTTTGGGTATATGTTGGGCGCTCAACACTTGGCATAGGTATTTTCTTTGTGGGAAAGATTTTATTAGATTTTAATGTCGGTAGCAACATGACCTTGTGAGTAATTTAAACTTGAAATGACGACACTCGTTAGATAATGTGTTGATATTTTCAGATACATGTAGCATCTTTTTTTTTTCATTTTGGGCATTTAATATTTTTCTTTCCCGCTGCTAAAGTCGAAAAGGCGTATTACTTTTCAGTATGCTCATATAAAAAGTTGTAATTTGAAATGCGCTGAAGGACTTTTTCCCAACGCTGGCAATTTTCTTCAAAATGATTTTCAACTCTAGATGTTGAATGCAAACATTTGCATGTACAAATCATTTAAGAAATGAATAATCATTTTATTTTGGGCGATTCTAGGTAAAACTTAAATCCTATGGATACTCCACTTAGCTCTTTTGTAGATCAAAGGAAAAACTGAAGTGGTCTATTTGTTTTTTCTATTAGTCCATCAAGTTTTAACTTTTTTCAAGATGATCCTTTGATTAGAAAATAGATACGAAGAAATATGTCAAAGTGAGTACAAATGAGCATACTCCCATGTACATCGCACCAGTAGCTACATGTATGCATTTATGAATGATTCTAAACTGTTGGCACAGCGCCTCAAATCTTAATCCTAAATTCGACGGCCCGAGCTCGATGCCGACTGAGGACAGTATTGAGCAGTTATGCACATGTTTGGGACATACATATACTAAAGGTTTTCGTTATATTCCATTTTTTTTTATTTATGAAGGTTTAATTAAATTGTACATTGTACATGATAGTGTTTATTTCGTTGAGTTTATTTGCTAGAATATTGGAAGCAAAATATCAATAAGAAATATGGAGAAGACAAGTCATTTTGGTAACGTTTCTTTACGCGAGGACGTAATCTATGACGTCACGATGTTTTAAAGATCATGAACTACTACGATAAATTTAATGACGATAAATTTAATTTTAGTGGCCTTCAACCTTCACTGAGTTTTCTGTTATGACCATAGATGGTACTGGAGCGACTCTGTGTCCTTTTCGGATAAAATACCAGAGTAGGAGCCCGGTTAAACCCAGCAAGACCAACCCTCCTAAGCTGGCTCCGACAGCTATGGGAACGATATTCTGTTGACCTCCTCCGCTTCCCCCAGTTTGCTTCTTGAGACCACTTTTACTTGTGTTGGTGTTGTGGTAAGAAGCCGTTGTCCCGGACACTAGATGAGAAGAGCTCCCAGTTGTGAATTGTTCAAAAAAGGCGGTTGTAAAGACATTCCCCACGCCAGATGTGACCTGTTCTGTAGTTTTGTCCAAGACAGGAGAGTTCGTACTGAGTTTTGCTAAAGTAGGAGCAACACCCCCAGAAGTGGTCTGTTGTAAAGCTCCAGAATTGCCTCTGGTAGTCTGCCTACGAATGGCAGATGCGATCTGAGTTATTGCCGAACTGTGAATTGGTGTGGACGTGAGGGTGGCTGTGGTCGTAGGACTGGCATTGGTCGTGAGGCTGCCTGTGGTTGTAGGACTGGTAGTGGTCGTGAGGCTGGCTGTGGTGGTGTGGCTGGCTGTGGTGGTGTGGCTGGCTGTGGTCGTGACGGTGGCTGTAGTGGTAGTTTCAACAGTTGTCGTCGACCTATAACAAGCACCCGATGTTATAGGACTTCTGCATGGCCCCAGCTTGAGATCGTCAACAGCAATATCACCGATCCGCTGTCCAACGATTTCCACAGCTTCCAAAATTATCTACAGCAAACAGTAGAAAAAAGCAATGATAAATAACCCGCCAAGCCGTTTTTACTTGCTACAACGTACAGTACAGTAGATGTACCAGAGATCAGATGCTTTGGCTAATTTACCTTTTAATATAGACATTTAAGACAAAATCCATTTATAAACTGGTTGATTTTATCGCCGATCTTCATGCATTTTATCATATACAGTATAAATGCACACATGCATTATTTACTATATGTGCAATATACATGTACCACTACAGTTGCTACATGTATGATACTTGGAGTAAAACACACCTGAAATGAGTCATTTAACTGTGGTATGGCCACCACCCCCTGAATCCATCGGTCTCCGTGGTTTCCACAGGCATTAAATATGATGTTACTAGCCAGGGATCTTGCTGTAATGTTAATATTAAGTTCTCCTACAGCTGAAAGTAAATAAATCATAATGATTACATGTACCATTGTTTGTGTCGCAAGATGTGCCATTCAGATATGAAGACAAAACTGAAGCAGCGGTATTCAGTTCATCATAGCATTTACATAATTTTCAGTTTAGCCCCTATAATTTTTAATTGATATTAATTATTGGAATTTGACAAGACAGAGAATAAATCCTCGCCTTACGATATTTAATGTATCTAGTGCTGCGTGAAACAAAAATAATGCGGTAGAGCCCTGTGTTTATAAAAGTCCATCAACCCACCCTTAACAAGGTATGTTTACAAAACTATCACATGTTATCTTGTAAGATCGTTTTATAATTGCCACTTTATATTTACCATCGTGATTCTTGAGACCGGAGTCAAAAGGTTTGTCAAACATGTGGTACCAAAATTCAAAACAACTATTGCTCAAATTCACTTGGAAAACAGGCGAGAGAAGTCGAATCTTATCTCCCTGCTTTAGGGGGCTTGATTCCATGTATATGTAAAAACCTGGAAAATTACAATATCCTCGAAGTTTACCCAACCTTTTATTTCAAAGAGCTTAAACATCACTCAATTTATTTCATCTCCCAAAACACTAAGCTAATTGCATTTCAAAAGCGTACGAGTCACGTTATATATCTGTGGTTAAAAATAATTTTCCGAAAAATTCTAGTAATTTTTCCGTTGTTAAGGTTTTACCGTTAAGGTGTAAGACACTCGTTTTCAAGCTCTTAATTTCTAATATTTACAGTCGCAGGTGAAATCCAATATCATCTCCCTCTTCATAACGAGGCTGGCACAACAACAGAAACTTAGAATATAATAACTTGTCTATAGGGCAAGATTTGTAATCATCATATATGTACACTGTAACACTATCTTATATGGTATACCTTTGTAATTAAATCAGTTTTGACATTGGCAGGAATGTTAAGGTTTTGCTATGTAACGGCCAAACGCTAAACGTATTAATGCAGAAAGCTTTTGAATTTAATGCAGAAAGCTTTTGAAATAGAGCCAACATCTTTTTATATTTGACCAAATACCTGCTGTTGTATTTGTCGTATGGTCCACACTTGGTCCAGTATATCGCGTGGGTGTCCTTCCTTTCCACCTTGTCCAGTTTCCGTCGTCAGACGCGATATCTTGTGACCAGCCACAAAACCCGACTTCAAAGTCGCAACTTTCGTACACGTTGTGGCCTGCTACATTTCCTACGTCATAACAATAAACACATTTTACTTATCGATTACTTTGTCGATTCTTTAGTCCAATAGGAACTCAATGCAAATGAAAAGAAAGACGAACAACAGAAAAATAATGGAAATGACTTATCGTTCAATTTGAAATATTTGGTCCATTTCTTTACAATATTTTAAAAATACCCGTCGTTGTATGATCCAACACAATCCAAATTTGTTTAAGTTAATAAATAAAACTAGAGAATTCTATTGTACATATATGTAAAAATCATGGACCAAACTTGCACAATCACATTTACATACTTAAACTTATATAAATACACGTACCTAATATAAACAATCCATTTATATGGATGGAGAATACTGCAGCAACTAGAAAATATGTGAACATGTCGACTCTTACCATTAGTAACGATCTGAAAAGACTTAGTGGTGCACCTGCGTATATGGTCACTTTTTAAAAGTTTGAAACCGGGCGGATTCTACAGAGACAATTTAATTCGAAGAAGATTGACATGTGTGAATGATCTTGATAATGGCAAGATTAAGTCTCTTTATTTCTGAATCAATTATCGTTGTTTAACCTGCCCTAGAGTGCGTGTCGTGTGGCATAAAGCGATCACAGGAATAACTTAGGGTGTGCCTACCCTCAATCAGAGCCACATAGCGAGAGTTTTCCGCTTGAAAACAACAGATATTTCTCTAGTTAGGCCTAATTCTGTGCATATTATAGTGCATGCTGAGCGGGGAGTTTAACACAAAATTTCAAAAAAGTCATCATCCAGCTGCCCTTTGGTACAGAGTAGGGTAAGACGAAAGCCCTTCTTTCTTGAACGTCAAATCATTTAATGTTCACAAATCAAAACTCATAATTATATCTGTTCTGTGTTTAAATCGAGGTTAAAGTAATGATTTTCTGTATACTAATTTCACTTTTTATTGCATTTTACAGGTTTTCATTTGCGACGTTATCAGTTTTATTCAAGTTAAACGAAACTTATACGATATAAAATTTTCTCGCGATTTGAAGCTCTACTAGGTAGAACCTGAGTCTGTTTTAGCTCCACACAAATATAAGAAAAATGTGGAAGTTGTCTGTCAGAAAAAAATGTCACAAAAATGTATATTTTGGCTTTTGTTGACTCCCCCAGGCCGTATTTCCCACAGAAATCATTTAACTCCGACATGATGGCAGTCTCCGACGCTTCTGTTGTTCGGTTTACGTTCAATTCGCCGTTCTCCTCTTCCAATACTCCCGGGGCCACTGCCTGTGCTATATTCATTAAATACGTATCCCAGGATAAATCGTCTACTCTGGTCCTACCGTCGCTCATATCATTCACCGTTTATCACAAAAGTCTAATACTGCTTCGCTATACTCATGCTTAACCTCCCGCCGCTGCTTCGCAAATGCCGTTTAAACCTGGTGCTGTGATCACTAACCACCACTGCGCATGTCGGCCTGCGTATCGGTACAGAGATTGTGGCGCCACCTGCCCAATGCCCGGATGTATTAAACTAAGCTTAACTCCCGAACTGCACACGCGCCGTAGTATTTGTGTTTTACGCCATTTCAATTGAAATTAACAGCTACTTTTTGCTGCAACGGCAGTCATGGTTAATGGCTCCCCTACGCCATGTTGTAAACCGAAGCATTGGGAAGGCAAGGTGACGTTGGGAATGTTGACGCGAGGGACGATAAATACAACTTATGACTACCCTAAAATGAGGGAGGCCCAAGTGCAGGATTTTTATGTTTCCCCACCATTGCCGTATTACACGGTTAGAAAGACTGTCACCAAGGACTACAAAAAGGTGAAACGCCTTTTTTTTTTTTTTTTTTGCAGTTTGCATAAATTTGGGATAATGTAGGGGGGGTCTTCGAAAGGCCAGAACTAAGAACGTGAGCTTCGGGCTAAAGTTTGATCATTAGTATAAATGTAATCTAGTACCAGTAGGCCTACTCGGGAGAGTCACTTTGACAGCGCTGCAGCAACAGCACTGCAGAGAATGTATGGCAATATCGTAATGCGTTTTGTGATATACCCATGGAGTTGTCTCTGTCCTTTTCTATCATGTTTCCACGCTGAGGGTTTTCTTTCAATCAAGGGGATGCAGTGGGAGATCGACGAGAACAATAAAACGTGTACAACAAGAAAACTTAACAGTAGTATGCCTCCGCCCTGTATACCAGGTACGTGTGGGTAGCGGGGTTATTAATATTGTCGTTATTTACTTCTAAATCGTGTGTGTGTGTGTGTGTGTGTGAAGAGACCTACAAATACTGACCTCGGATTTAATCTATCTATTGAATAAAACTAAAACTAATGGTGCGTCATCGATTGTGGATTGTGTTAAATGTGTTAGATGTGACAACTGGCCAAACCATACTGAATGAAAACACTACATGCATGTGTGAATGGAATGCATGCCCCCCATGTCCTGTGGACGTTTGCTCCCTAGAATGAACTGCCCTACCCAGACCTAAATTCCCAGCTGTATTTATACACAGCTAAAACATATTTTCCTGTCGGACATGCATTACGGTGGACATCCATGCCCTTCACACTAGTAATCTGTGAGCACGTTTGAGTTCAAGTCATGTATTTTACATGATACCTAAATGCTTTCAACTGCACATATATCTGCTTATACACAGTTAAGGCACGTACCTCCTATCGCAGACCCTCGAGGTAGATCGTGGGTACGTTGATGCACCTGCAGCGAGTCAAGCCACCGTGTATGAAGTGGAGTCCAAGACATGCTGGACAGTGTCGGAGACAAGAAGATCAACTGTTCCAGGTATATAAGTATATACAGTTATATAATTTATACAATAATGAAAAAAGCAGTTCTTGGGTAATTTGGAAAAAATATCATAGTCTTTTAGCATTTTTGCTAAAAAAGAAGACAGATATTGTGACTGTATAGGCTTTCGCTGTTTACCATTATTTGGTTTTGTTTCAATTTAACTTATTCTATTTATTTATTTATTTATTTATTTATTTATTTATTTCAAACATGTTCAGGCTGATAAGATTTATCTTTGAAAATGTTACGGCTGGGATAAAGAACCTGGGGATATTTAACCTGCCGAGCTACTGTCCCCCAGGGAAGTAGTAGATTTGATCCTTTTTAACGGAAACTTCACCTGATAAATCACGTTACCAGGACACATGCTGGTAAACTTTCAGATAGGAAATCGTCAGGTCTAAGGAAAACAGTAGAAGACAACGATCTCATACTCAAGTCTTGGGCTGTGGTTTAAGTTGTCGTTGTTGTTGTTGTTGTTCTTTTTCTCCTTCTTCTTCTTCTTCTTCTCATTAAATTATTGCTGTTGTTTTTGCTGTTGTTGTTTTAAATTTGCATTTATATATTACCCTCTTCCCAAAACGATTACTACAGTCATTGAAATGTAATCAAAATTTATATTGAAACAATTAAGTTACTTTTTGTAGAGATTGTATAGGAAGTATGTGCCACTAATTCTTTTTTTATTAAATATTTAAACAAAACGTGTAAATGATTAGAAACATTTGGAAATACGAAATGTAAACAGAGGGTGAAATCAAACATTTACCGGGTGTTGCCGAAATGCCTTTGCGTTTGTTCAAGGAGGAGGGGACCTTTTTATCTCTTCCTTCTAAAGTGAATCTATATCTCCCGCTGTAACGCAAGCCTTGGAGAATGCCTTTTAATTGCGTTCTTCATTTTTCTCTAAAGTACTCACATTCCAAAGAACACTTAATCATGATATCTGAATTTTGCTATATAAATATAAGTAAGTAGTTCGACACCTAGGTGTACCCAGGGCCACATTCATTTTTTTCATAATATAAAAACCATATGGGCACATCTAGTGATAACAATATTTTATTTGTATCGCTCACTACAAGTAGTAATGGAGCGGTCGTCGACTTGACTTAGCGAATTAAATTAAGCCGATCTTTCCCAAGTAGTCTAATGACCGTGAGGTAACCATTGCAAATGTCTTTTTGAATATTTTGCTGCGGATGAACACATAAATATGTATGAAAGTTGAGATTAGGTGAGTCATTTTCTTCTTGACACCAAGATATAGCAAATTTTATACCCTAAATCCCATGCTGTGTGTTCTTCGACACTTTTCCCGATATTTGTGGCATACATATTATCACAATAAGTAATCAGTTGGGGATAATTGTGAATTTTAGAGATACGTAATTTTGGAAAGTCATAAATTCTAAAAATTAATGAAATTCCTATTGAGTGATAACAACAAAATCGAAAAACAGCTCACCCTCTAAAACACCAAAAATGCTACACGGAAATATAATTCTATAATCATTACAAAATTAGGTATCTAAAAGATGGATCATTTTTGCCCATTGAAAAAATCGAGTCATTTCCGTACTCATCAGCCACATGTATTTACATCAGCAGTAGGGCGTGACAAAATTAGATTCAGAAATAATATACAATGGCTCAGTTATCATTGAGGCTGTTGTAAAAGAAATTTGCATCCATGCCTCGATAAGGTTTGGTTCTACATGTATTTCATAATTAGTAAGTTAATTCCCTTCAATGTTTCTCGGTCGATAATACTACTCCATAAAAACAGCGGACGTTTCATAGCGTCTTTAGAGGCTCTCTGTATAAACCTTTGGTGAGTTTTTAATAATCGACATGGAGGGTCTGGAGCTTACTCCTTTTTGTCCCTTTCTTTTTGAGAAAAAATACCAGAGTAGGAGCCCGGTTAAACCGAGCAAGACCAACCCTCCTAAGCTGGCCCCGACCGCTATGGGAACGATATTCTGTTGACCTCCTCCGCTTCCCCCAGTTTGCTTCTTGAGACCACTCTTACTTGTGTTGTTGGTGTAGTTAGTAGTCCCAGAAGAGCTCCCAGTTGTGAGTTGTTCAAAAGAGGCGGTCGTGAAGACATTCCCCACGCCAGTTGTGACCTGTTCTGTAGTTTTGTCCAAGACAGGAGAGTTCGTACTGAGTTTTGCTAAAGTAGGAGCAATACCCCCAGAAGTGGTCTGTTGTAAAGCTCCAGAATTGCCTCTGGTAGTCTGCCTACGAATGGCAGATGCGATCTGAGTTATTGCCGAAGTGTGAATTGGAGTGCTCGTGAGGGTGGCTGTGGTCGTGGGACTGACAGTGGTCGTGAGGCTGGCTGTGGTCGTGACAGTGGCTTGTGGTGGTAATTTCAATGGTTGCCGTCGACCTATAACAAGCACCCGATGTTATAGGATTTCTGCATGGCCCCAGCTTGAGATCATCAATAGCAATATCATCGAGCCGCTGTCCAACAATTTCCACAGCTTCCAGAATTATCTACAGCAGACAGTAGAAAAAAGCAATGATAGATAGCCCGTCAAGCCGTTTTTACTTGCTACAACGTACAGTACATGTGCCATGCTTTGGCTAATTTACCTTTTAATATAGACATTTAAGACAAAAACCCATTTAAAAACTGATGATAAAATTTATAGTTTTATTTGATTTTATCGCCGATCTTTATGTAATTCATCATATACAGTATAAATGCACACATGCATTATTTACTACGTATGTCATAAACTACTACAGTTGCTACATGTATGATACTTGGAGTAAAACACACCTGAAATGACTCATTTAACTGTGGTATGGCCATCACCCCCTGAATCCATCGGTCTCCGTGGTTTCCACAGGCATTAAATATGGTGTTACTGGAAAGGGCCCTCGTTGTGATGTAAATATTAAGTTCTCCGACAGCTGAAAGTAAATAAATCTTAATGTTTACCATTGTTTGTGTCCCAAAATGTGCCCATGGGTGTATTTCCATTCAGACATGAAGACAAAAGTGAAGTACCGGTAGTCAGTTCATCATAGCATTTGACTAAACATTTACAGTTAATGTTCAGTTAAGCCTTTTATAACTTGTAACTGATATTGATTGTTGAAATTTGACAGAACAGAGAATCCTCGCATTGTGGTATTTAGTATCTGCGTGAAACAAAAATAATGCCGTAGAACCCTGTGTTTATAAAAGTCCATCAACCCACCCTTAACAAGGTATGTTTACAAACCTATCACATGTTATCTTGTAAGATCGTTTTATAATTGCCACTTTATATTTACCATCGTGATTCTTGAGACCGAAGTCATAAGGTTTGTCAAACATGTGGTACCAAAATTCAAAACAGCTATTACTCAAATTCACTTGGAAAAGAGGCGAGAGAAGACGAATCTTATCTCCCTGCTTTTGGGGGCTTGATTCCATGTATATGTAAAAACCTGGAAAAATTAAAATATCCTGGAGGTTTACCCAACCTTTTTTTCCAAAGAGCTTAAAGATCATTCAGTTTATTTCATCTGGCAAAACACTAAACCAATTGCATTTCAAAAGCGTACAAATTACGTTATATACCTGTGGCCAAAAATAAATTTCCGGGAAATTCAAGTAACTTTTCTGTTGTCGTTAAGGCCGTTGTCTCGTTTTCAAGCTCTTAATTTCTAATATTAACAGTCGTTGGTGAAATCCAATATTATCTCCCTCTTCAAGGGAGACTGGCACAACAATAGAAACTTAGAATATAATAACCGGTCTATAGAGTATGTTTTGTAAAAATCATATATGTACACTGTAACACTATCTTATATGGTATACTTTATAACTAAATCAGTTTTGATATTGGCAGGAATGTTTAATTTTTGCTATTTCAAGGTCAAACGTTAAACGTATTGATTTATTAATGCAGAAAGCTTTTGAAACAGAACCATCATCTTTTCATATTTGTCCACAAACCTGTCGTTGTATTTGTCGTATGGTCCACACTTGGTCCAGTATATCGCGTGGGTGTCCTTCCTTTCCACCTTGTCCAGTTTCCGTCGTCAGACGCGATATCTTGTGACCAGCCACAAAACCCGACTTCAAAGTCGCAACTTTCGTACACGTTGTGGCCTGCTACATTTTCTACGTCATGACAATAAACAGATTTTACTTACCAATTATTGTCGATTGTTCAATCGGTTAGAAACTCGATGCAAATGAAAACTAACAACAGAAAAACAATGGAAATAACATATCGTGGTCCATTTCTTTGCAATATTTAAAATAGCCGTCTTTGTATTGATCCAACACAATTAAAATTTGTTCACGTCAATAATTAACACAGGAATTCCATTATTATGTACATATATGCAACGTGCTGGGGATATTTCATATTG